ATTAAGCTAAAACACACACACACATACACACAACAGGTTCAGGAAATGAGTTGCTGCGTTTGCATGAAGTTCCCAAAGTTCCAATACTCGTTTTCTATGAGTTCTTTAAATTGAACCTGAGAAAACTCATAAAAGCAGAGACTTGGCCTATCTTTACTGCTTAAAATCAATTCAGTGCTAGTTCAGCAAGAAATTATGATTTGTTTGTTACTTGCGTTCAAGTTGACAGCTGACAACAGGCTGACGCAGTCGGTGTCTGACGTATTTCTGCGGATGCCCTCCAGCGATTGCTTTTTTTTGTGATGTCACGTCACAAGGAAAAGTGTGACGTGTGAAGTTCTTCTCAGATTCTGTTTGCAAAGACTAAGCTTTGAAGATTTCTGCAGTCACGAAGTTTGACGAAGTTTTGGAGTTCTGGAGGATCACTAGCCTGATGTTACGGCTGTGAGCGCTTTGTAGCGCAATCAATAAGGCAGAAGAGCCAAAGATCGAGAGAGCAAGCAGCAAAACCACGAAGGCTTTGTGTCCAGTTTTAAGCAGGCTGATTTTGGTCCATCCCATGGCGCAGTCTTCCAATCAGAGGTTGTTGCAGGACCTTAACCACACCCTATACTGTTCCTTTATCATGCATGAATCACATGCTCCCCATGGGGAGTATTTCTGCAAGTTTTAATAACTTCTTATAAAAGTATTATCACCAGCGAATGATGCCGAATATCATTGTTTTCATTCACGCCAATGTTCTGCAAATAAAACAATCTTTAACCCGATATGAAACACTGGTTATCTGCTAAAAGGAAAAGTTATAAGGCAAAGATTAAAATTTCATAGTTTCCAATAACACATCAAACAGAAAGAATATTATTTGGGAGTATATTGCTCTAATACTTTAAATTATTTTAAATGATTGTCTTTTAAAATCGTCATGCAAGTTTCTGTTTCTTTTGTTGTAAGAGAAAAGAATGCGGGTCAGTTGGGTTTCAGAAGGGCAGGAAGCAGATGGTCAAGAGTCATGGAATAGTCACGTATAGATCCAGTGTTTGCAGGCCTGAGGGCGTCAGTTAATTTACTCATCCTTTTCCTGTTGGATATAACAGTTCCATACATTGCGCCCACGAGGTG